TTACAGTCACTGTCCATCAGCATAGCAAAATGTTGTAGAATCACTACTTGTCCTCTCTGTGTTGTATAGCCCTCCCTCCCCTTTCTCCCTCCCTGCCATGCATGCTAATCTTAATACCCCCCTTCTTCTTCCCCCCCTTATCCCTCCCTGCCCACCCATCCTCCCCAGTTCCTTTCCCTTTGGTACCTGTTAGTCCATTTTTGGGTTCTGTAATTCTGCTGCTGTTTTGTTCCTTCAGTTTTTCCTTTGTTCCTATACTCCTCAGATGAGTGAAATCATTTGGTATTTCTCTTTCTCCGCTTGGCTTATTTCACTGAGCATAATACTCTCCAGCTCCATCCATGTTGCTGCAAATGGTTGGATTTTTCCACTTCTTATGGCTGAGTAGTATTCCATTGTGTATATGTACCACATCTTCTTTATCCATTCATCTACCGATGGACATTTAGGTTGCTTCCAATTCTTGGCTATTGTAAATAGTGCTGCGATAAACATAGGAGTGCATCTGTCTTTCTCAAACTTGATTGCTGCGTTCTTAGGGTAAATTCCTAGGAGTGGAATTCCTGGGTCAAATGGTAGGTCTGTTTTGAGCATTTTGATGCACCTCCATACTGCAATGGTTGAACTAATTTACATTCCCACCATACAATGCTAATTTTTATTCCAACTAAATAAAGCAAAGCACAAGCCATTTGGGCAATAAGATTAAGTCAAGAGCAAAAGCCAACAAGACAAAATTTTTGTTTGTTTTAATTATCAGAGCACATGGCTCTTTTCCACACCTCCTCTTAGAAAATGTGGGTTAATAAATCTCATGCAAAGAAACATAGGAAAAAAGACAAAGGAAAAATGACATTCATCTAGTGTGCTGTTCAAGGTGGTCTCTCCAGTTTCTCTTCTGTAAACTGCTCCATCAGCATGGTCCACTGTGGATTATTTTAATATCATGACCATCTTCCCTGCAAATTGAACAACAATAAAAACAGACTTATTACCTACAACACTGAAAATTTCCCACTACTTTACTAAAAAAGACCCATGGCATAATACATTAGATTTCTTCAGGAGTGAGAATCACTCTTAAAGCTAAATCTAGGAAACAACACAGGTGAAACCTCTAACTCTGCCATTTTTTTTCCCTAACCTTAGGGCACAGAGCACTAGCCCCAGGGAATCACTCTGAGAAAACCTAGGTAACTCACTGAAGACTGAGGTCAGAGAATGGAGCCCTGAAATACAAAGCAGCACACCTGCAGGAGGAGTCATGGTCCCCTAGCAGGCATGTTACAAGAAGGGCATCAGGTGTGATACACATTACTTCGCATTCCACTAGCTACAGTTAGTACGACTAGTACCAACTAGTACTTCAGGGTGTGCGCGTTATGCACACATGCCCTCTGGATTTAAAAAAGCATTTAATACTTAATGGAGTTTAAATATTAAATATAACCTTAATTTTGAGAAATTGCCCACCCACAGGTAGTAATAAATTTGATTATCTGGTCTGTAATTAATTAATAACACACCTCATTCTGTAACTTTGACCTGGAAAATGCACTGAAGATTCACTGTCTTTTTAAGTGTCTGAGAAGAACTACTTATGTCACATTGGATTTTTACATACAAAAACAGAGTCAGTACTTCCTAAGTAATCAAAGTTCAAGGAAAGGACTAAAGAAAACTTGGCTGGACTATACTGTAAAATTACATTACCTGATTTTCATGCACAAAGTACACTCATTGGGATAAGTGGACATGTCGCTTCCACACACAGGATTAAAGTCTCTGGGACATCCTGGTAATTTATATTGATTGCAGTCTGGCTAGAAAAGAGAAAGGAATTGGAGAATAACTTGAGACAGTCTCATCACAAAATAGCTGAGGGGAGGACAAAGTCCCAAGTTTCCCTAGATTTCCTAGAAACATCCTACAAAAATATTTGTTTTGCATACATAAAAAAGGTTTTTCTAATACAAAAATCTGATGCAATGGTTCAATGCCTGCTATGTAAGAAAAGAACCTTAGAAGAAGGTTCAGTCTGGCTGATTTTTAAATGAAAGTCCAAGACATGCCACCATACCTACTTTACTATCCTCTAGTTTCATAATTTGCTACTTTGCTGCTATCTCCATGTGTTCTGTTACATTCCACTTTAATCCCTTGGCACAATGCCAAGACAAATTCAGAAATCTAATTTTTTAGTTCTGTACTTTTAAGATACTGGCATTTAACCAACAGCACTAAAGAAAGCAGCAGGTTCAGAATGAGAACTTAACACTTGTTTTGAGTTTAATTGTGCCTGCCCAAAAAGATACTTTAAACTCCTAATCCTCAGTCCCTTAGAATGTGACTTTATTTGGAAATAGGATCTTTATATAGGTAATCAAATTAAATTAAGGTTATTAGAGTGGGTCCTAATCTAATATGACTGGTATCCTTATAAAAAGGGAAATTTTGGACATAGAGTCACACATAGAGGGAAAATCATATGAAGACACAGAGAGAATGCCATACACAAGCCAAGAACCCCTGAGGCTACCAGACACTAGGAGAAGGGGATGACACAGATTCTCCCTCAGAGCCCTCAGAAGGAACTAATACTGCCAACTCCTTGATTTGATGTCAACCTCCAGACCTATGAGCCACAATCAATTTCTGTTGTTTAAGGCAGCCAGTTTGAGGTACTTTATTAGGCAGCCCTAACCTCACAAGCAGTGTGGATGTCCTCTTATCCAATGAGATTGGGACAAGTGGTGGTTGGTCATTTAGTTGAAAAGGTCTTTAAAACACAGAAACAATAACAAAAAATAACACATGCCCCAAAGATTTTATCTTAAAACATATCGATGAAAACAACATTGCCAATCTTCTGATGTAAGACAATGACAGGGCATATGACCACTTGTATTGCTACTGAAACAGGCTTCCTTGTGGCTAGGTGTGACCACACGAATAAGGCCAGGCCAAGGGGATACAGTGAATTACTGTGCAGTAGCTTCTGGGAACTCTGAAAGAAAGCTGGTACCTGTCCTCTGCTTCCCCAATTTTTCTTCTTTTTTGTCTATTCCTCCATCCTGCTGCTGGGTACATGGGGCTCTAAGGTTTATCTTACAGACCAGGAGGACAAAGGTCACATTCTAGGATGGCAGCCCTGTGTGCTGTTACTCTGAGTCTTTATTACTTGAAGCTGAGTCTAATCCTATCTGATACAAGAGGTAAGACCTTTCCTTGGAATGTCTCAACTACTTAGAGCTCTGTGTGCTATAACCGCAAAAGTCACATCCACAATAAATCACCTATGGTTTCCTGTTCCCAGTTTCTTTAAAGTAGGATTTCTCAACCCCTATTCACATTTCGGAACAGTCAGTTCCTTTGCTGCGGAACGCTGTCCTGAGTGCTGTAGGATGTTTAGCGCACCCCTCTTCTCAACCCCCTAGATGCCAGCATCAACACCCATTCATGACAATCAAAAATGACAGTCTAGAGGTCTCCTGGGGGGCAAAACTGCTCCCAGTGGAGCACTACTATTTTAAAATACAGTGAGAACTTAAAGATACTTGTAAAAATCTTTCCCCAATTATTTATAGCTGTTTCACCTATACCTAATTCAACAGCAGTTTTATTTTTTAGCAATTTGTCTTTTAGTAAGTCTTTCGAAAGCATTCAACACAGTTCTTATATAAACTCTGACTTTATTTCTTTACACTCATGTTTATGTTGTGTTTACATTTTTAATTAAAACAAGACTACTGACTGGGAAAGCAGGCTTGTGAACATGCATATTTGAATTTTGATAAGATCACAATTGACAGAAATCCATGCAAATCCATGGGAAATAAAGTCTACTGGCTTATAAGGGTATAGTCCAACCATAGCCAGTAGGTGATCACTATGCTGCTGGAAATGTTCAGAGACAAATGGAAGGGTCATTTATTTTAAGTTACTTAAGTGGAGGGTGGCTGAGTGAGTTTTTACTGTTAACAAACTAGCCAGTGGCAGATCCACACAGGTCTGCCCATGTATGTCATGTCAGAAGCTTGTTAAAAACACTGATATGGGGGCTTATCCCAGACCACTCACTCTCCGAAGGCAGAATCTGTATGTCTAGCAGCCCCTGAATACTGACTCAGTTAGAACTGGATTTAGGAACCCCTGTGCCCAATCATGATGATATCGAGTTCACTTTGACTACTCGATGAAACCTAAGGCAAATGAACAGACACACAGTTGAGCACACAATTTCAGGGAATCCCTGTTCTAGATCTTTTCTGCCTCCACCTTTTTAATCAAAACATTTTGACTATGTCCCACTGTCTCTCAGTGATTGACTAGGCAAACACTAGCTAATTTAAATCAATCTATTTAGCCTGAAGGTCTTAGGGTTTTTTAATATTCAACAGTTTTCAAATGCTTTCACCTCAATGAATAACTTATATGTGAATTTTGAGGAGCACCAACAAGATGGTAAGGGAGTTTTTTTTGTTTTTTTTTTTAAGATGGAAGATTTTTGATGGAAGGCAATGCTGGTGTTCCAGTCTGTTTCCAGTCTGATTCTCATGATTTCAAAGCTAGGTTTGACTACCACCATTTAAACTTTATTATATGCAGGTTACTGACTTCCTAGCTTTTCTGAGACATAAGGCTTTATGAACACTTGTCACTCTTACTAATAAGGCCAACTCATTTCATTAATAAATTATGCCCCCATTAATTTTTAGCTTTGTTCATTTCCCCATTTTTGTGCCAAAGGAAAAAAAAAATTCAAAACAGGCTCATCATCTAGGGAGTCTCTAAATTACATCCTACAAGATGCCAACTATAAGAAAACAGTTCGCCTCTGGCAGACTGTTCCTTGGAACTTTAGAATACTCTCATTCTGAAAGAGGACCACCTGGAAAATTTATTTATTCCTTAGAATCATTTTAATTTTTTTATTAGGGTATTATTAATGTACACTCTTATGAAGATCTCACATGAAAAAACAATGTGGTTACTACATTTACCCATATTATTGTGTACCTCCATATCCCAATGCAGTTACTGTCCATCAGTATAGTAAGATGCCACAGAGTCACTATTTGCCTTCTCTGTGCTACACTGCCTTCCCCATGATCCCCCCACACCATGTGTGCCAATCATAATACCCCTCAATCCCCTTCTCCCTCCCTCCCCATCCATCCTCCCCCACCCCTCCCCTCTGGTAACCTCTAGTCCCTTCTTGGAGTCTGTTGAGTCTGCTGCTGTTTTGTTCCTTCAGTTTTGCTTCATTGTTATACTCCACAAATGAGGGAAATCATTTGGCACTTGTCTTTCTCCACCTTGCTTATTTCACTGAGCATAATATCCTCCGGCTTCATCCATGCTGTTGCAAATGGTAGGATTCGTTTCTTTCTTATGGCTGAATAGTATTCCATTGTGTAAATGTGCCACATCTTCTTTATCCATTTGTCTATTGATAGACACTTAGGTTGCTTCCATATCTTGGCTACTGTAAATACTGCTGCAGTAAACATAGGGATGTATATGTATTTTTGAATCTGAGAAATTATATTCTCTGGGTAAATTCCTAGGAGTGGAATTCCTGGGTCAAATGATATTTCTATTTTTACTTTTTTGAGGAACCTCCATACTGCTTTCCACAATGGTTGAACTAGCTTATATTCCCACCAGCAGTGTAGGAGGGTTCCTCTTTCTCTACATCCTCACCAGCATTTGTTGTTCTTAGTCTTTTCGATACTGGCCATCCTAACTGTTGTGAGGTGATATCTCACTGTGGTTTTTATTTGCATTTCCCTGATGATTAGTGATGTGGAGCATCTTTTCATGTTCCTGTTGGCCATCTGAATTTCTTCTTTGGAGAAGTGTCTGTTCATATCCTCTGCCCATTTTTTAATTGGGTTATTTGCTTTTTGGTTGTCGAGGCATGTGAGTTCTTTATATATTTTGGATGTTAACCCCTTGTCAGATATGTCGTTTACAAATACATTCTCCCATACTATAAGATGCCTTTTTGTTCTGCTGATGGTGTCCTTTGCTGTACAGAAGCTTTTTAGGTTGATGTAGTCCCATGTGTTCATTTTTGCTTTAGTTTCCTTTCTTGAGGAGATGCATTCAGGAAGAAGTTGCTCATGTTTATATTCAGGAGATGTTTACCTATGTTGTCTTCTAAGAGTTTTATGGTTTCATGACTTACATTCAGGTCTTCAATCCATTTTGAGTTTACTTTTATGTATGGGGTTAAACAATAATCCAGTTTCGTTCTCTTGTATGTAGCTGTCCAGTTTTGCCAACACCAGCTGTTGAAGAGGCTGTCATTTCCCATTGTATATCCATGGCTCCTTTATCATATATTAATTGACCATATATGCTTGGGTTAATATTGGGACTCTCTATTCTGTTCCACTGGTCTATCGGTCTGTTCTTGTGCCAGTACCAAATTGTCTTGATTACTGTGGCTTTGTAGTAGAGTTTGAAGTCGGGGAGCATAATCCCCCCCAGTTTATTCTTCCTTCTCAGGATTGCTTTGGCTATTCGGGGTCTTTTGTGGTTCCATATGAATTTTAGAACTATTTGCTCTAGTTCATTGAAGAAAGCTGTTAGTATTTTGATAGGGATTGCGTTGAATCTGTAGAATGCTTTAGGCAGGATGGCCATTTTGACAATATTAATTCTTCATATCCATGAGCATGGGATGTGTTTCCATTTATTGGTATCTTCTTTAATTTCTCTCATGAGTGTCTTGTAGTTTTCAGGGTATAGGTCTTTCACTTCCTTGGTTAGGTTTATTCCTAGGGATTTTATTCTTTTTGATGCAGTTGTGAATGGAATTGTTTTTCTGATTTCTCTTTCTATTAGTTCATTGTTAGTGTATAGGAAAGCCACAGATTTCTCTGTATTAATTTTCTATCCCACAACTTTGCTGAATTCAGATATTATTTCTAGTAGTTTTGGAGTGGATTCTTTAGGGTTTTTTATGTACAATATCATGTCATCTGCAAACCGTGACAGTTTATTTCTTCCTTAACATTCTGGATGCCTTTTATTTCTTTGTGTTGTCTGATTGCCATGGCGAGAGAATTGTTTTAATTTTTACAGAAGGATGTGATTTGCTTTAAAGGAATTCTCTGAGTTTTATACTCTAAAGCTTTTCTTTGGAAAGGTTCTTAAATACGTTACCAGATACATTACCTCATTTATTCATTCAATAAATGAATACTGCAAAATTTTAAGATAGATGTTATGAGAAATACTAAGCCAGATTGAATCCTGCCTGCAAGAAATTTAGCATCTAATAATGGAATGAAAACATACACATGGTGGTCTTAAAGGATAGGTAAAATTTAGATTAAAGAGGTTTGGGCTTATCCATCTGAAGGAAGTAAAACAGACTAAGCAAAAGCATAGTGGTGAGGGAAGTGTTTTACCTGAGAGAAAAACAGTTTAATTTAAAGGAGCATCCAACACTCTTTCATGTTTAAAACACTTAGTAAACTAAGACTAAAAGATAACATCCTCACTCTTTTAAATGACATCTACGAAAATCCTACAGCTAATATTTTACTTAATGATGAGTGACTAGTGCTTTTCCCTAAAGTCAGGAACAAGAAAAGCAAGTCCACTTTCATTTGTTCTATTCAAAATAGTATGGAAGGTTCTAGCCAAGGCAGTTAGGCAAGAAAAATAAATAAAAGGCATCTAGATTGAAGAGAAACAAGTAAAACTATCATTAATCAAAATGACAGAATCTTTTTATATAGAAGAAATCCACCAGGAAATTATTAGAACTAAAAAACAAGTTGAACAAGACTGGAGGATACAAGATTGATACACAAAAATCAGTTATATTTCTATATACTAGCAATGAACAATTTGAGAATGAAATTAAGAAAACAATTCCATTAATAAAAACATCAAAAAGAATAAATTTAGGAATAAATTTAACAGAACAAGTGTAAATATTGTACACTAAAAAATACAAGACATTGTTGAAGGAAATTCAAGTCCTAAATAAATGAAAAGACATTCCATATTCATGGATCAAAAGACTTAATTTTCTTAAGGTGGCAATACTTCTCAAATTGATTCATGTAAAATAAGAATATCAATCTACCTTACAATGTTATTATGAGGATTGAGAGACTGAATATACAAATGGACAATGTTAGACCATATAGTAACATAGAACTGACCCCTAACAACCTGCCTGGGAAACCAGCTCATTATTTAGAATGCCCAAGAAGCTAGCCTGCTACATAAAGTCAGAATTGTAAGAAGACAGCTATCTCTAATAATAGTCCAGGAAGTGAAACAATAACCTCTGTAATAACAATAGGCCCAAAATTTCCAGGACTTGATTAATAACTTATGGCTTCCCTGATTTTCATCCCTGCTTTCAACTAAGGAACAACCAGAGAAAGCCAAATATGCACACCTAACCATATCACTTAGGATGCAGGCTTCTAGTCAGCCTGCCTACAGCTTCTCCATGCCAACAGCCTCCAATCAGGGCATACCTGAAACCTTCCCTTCCCCCCCCCCACCACTATACCTATATTTATTTTTATATATATAAAATTTTCCCACTCCTCTGGGTGCCTTTGAGTCCCAGCCAACACTCAAGTGATAGGGCGACTCCCTTGCTACATCAAGCCCTAAATAGCTTTTGCTTGTTCTCATTCAGCTGGTTTTCATTTGCTTCCACAGAATTTAATGTGATAATGTATATAAAATGTCTAGTACAAGGCATAGCTATCGTTTGAATCATTAAAGGAAATATTAAAAGAAACAAGGGCTGAGGCCTTCAAGGACTGAGACATTTTCAACTAAAATGCACACTTTTAGTCTGTATCAGAAGGCCTACCTGAGAATCTGGTTTCTCAAGAAGCAGCCAACAGTCTCAAAAGTGGCAAGTCAGACCTGAAAACTAGCCCCCAACCCACACTGTTGTGTGGATTATATTAGCAGAAATAATACAAGTGGTTTCATACTTACTGTTCTATATTCTGAAGGCTGACCAAATTGAGAGTTCAAAGAGGCTGCAAGAAGAAAACAGGCATTTTAAAGTATGATTAAGGCCAATTCTTGTTCATAAAGAGCTTTTCTAAAATCCATCTTGAGATTTATCCAGACTGGATAAGCACCTTCTCCATCAGATGCCTATGTTCTGTGAATCACCCCCACTGCCCCTCCCCAAGTAACACTAAGGTTTTTCCCGGCACTTCTAACACGGAAAGAACATTCAGTGCATTCTGTAACTGACCACCCTAATGGGTTTACTTGAGAAACTACTTTGGAGCTACGAAATAAGTCAGAGAAATAACTCTTTCGCTCATGATACTCTTTTTCCCTGAGGCTCATGGTAATGCATACAAAACTTAAGGTGCTACCATTTTAGCTCCAGTTCAAAATGGGCGTCAAGTCTAGCTGGACTTAAGGGCCCTTTCTCATAGCCTGAGTGCCTGACTCACCCGGCATTCACAGTTCCTAATTCCTATACATCTCCTGCCGGGGTTTTGCACTGTGTACATAAAAACCCAACTCCCCATCTTGAATTCCAGAAACTCTGCTTTAAGAGAGAAAGAGCTGACAGCAGGGTGTCACTGAGGACGAGCTGGGAGCAAAGCCCAAGCAAGACGCAGAGGTCAAGTCTCCACCGCCACCCTTGCCAGCTCAGCGCCCGCTGCTCGCGTTCGTCCATGGCAGCTGAACGGCCCGGAGCGCCAGTTAGTGGTGCGTGGAGGGCGCCGAGGCTGCCCTACAGGGCTGGCCTGCAAGAGTTCCCCGGCCTCAGTCTTCCGCGGGTCCTTAGTGGGCCAGGCTCCCTGGTGAGCGTTACCTGCCAAGTCTCCAGCCAGGAGCAGCAGCACCAAGAGCAGCATAGAGGGCGCCATCCTGCCGCCGCTGCTGGCCCTCGGATCCTCGACGCAACGGACCTCACGCGACAAGCAGAGCACGCTGGGGGAAGACACGCGACGGGGTTGGGTGACAGCGGGGCGGGGAGGCAGGGCAGCCGGGAGGTAGGAGAGGGGGAGGGGGGGCGCCAGCTCACCCCTCTCCCTCCATCCTCACTCCCCACGCCCCCACTCCCCCGTCCTCACTCCCCACTCCCTGCTTTCCCCATCCCCATCTCCACTCCCCAGTCCCTCCCTCCCCCCATCCCCATCCCCATCTCCCTACCTTCCCCCATCCACACTCCCCACTCCCTACCTCCCCCCAAACCCATATCCCCCATCCCCCCCCCCCCCCCCCCNCCCCATCCCCATCCCCACCTCCCCACCCCCCTACCTCCCCATCCCCACCTCCCCATCCCAGTGAGGATGGGAGTAAGCAATTAGGGAGGGGAGGATCTCTCAGGTAGCAAGTGAGACCCAGGTAAGAGCCGTGGGGAACAGCCTTGCAGGCTCTGTCAGTCAGCCCCTAAATTTCTTCAACATCAACCCTGTCCCAGGCACTGTTTTGGCTCTGAACTCATTAAGGAGGGCCTTGCTCTCAGAAAGCTTTCTACTGTAGATGTTGGGTGACACCGGAACTCCAAAACAAGAGAATCAATACAATAATTTCTAAAATTATGCGCTTATAGAGAGTGGTGGGGTAGGTGAACACTTTCCATCAGAAGGTCAGCAAATGCCTTTCAAAAGTGACATTTGAGTTGAAAGCTGAAGAATACGAAGGAAGCCTGGTGAAGACCTGGGGGACAAGTATCCCAGGCTCAAGGAAAAGCAGGTATGGTCAGGAGGCTGAAGCAGCTCTCTGTTTCAGCCAGAGCCTGGGAAAAGGAGTAGGAAAGTGGAGAGAGATGGAACCACTGGCCAAGATCACGTGTGGCAGTGTAGGCCATGGTGAGGGTTTAGATTTGTTTTGGGTGTAGTGGGAAGCCAGTGGAAAATTTTAGGCAATGGAATGTCCCTGATCTATGTTTTAATAGACTGGTGAAGAATGTATAGGAGATAGGTAAGGGTTGAGGCATGAAGACAAATTAAGTGGCTTTTACAGTAACCCAGGCAAGAGATGATGGTGGCTCAAATTAGTGTGTAGCAATGGATTGGTGAGAAGTGGTCAGATTCAAGATTTGTGTTGGAGATGGAACCACTCTAGTGAAGAGGAGAATGAAGAATGTCACCTAGGATTTTGTTCTAAACAGCTGGATATGTGACATGCCATTTCTGTGATGAAGGACATTTGGAGAGGCTGCCTGTTAGACATCTGAGTGGACATGTAAGCAAGGCAGTTGGAATTACCAGTTTGGAGGTGGAGATTTAAATGCAGAAGTCACCTGCATATCGCAGGTATTGAAAACCGTGAACGCAATGCCCAGCGCAGGAGTGTTGCAAGAGGTCCCATCAAAGCCCTGGGGCACTGCTGTGTGGGGGTTTGACACATGGTAAGAAGCAGCCTGTGAAGGAGAAAGAAAACCAGGCTGGAGTCTGGGGTTACTGAACTCTGGAGAGTGCTATAACCATGTCAGCTGCTGCTGCGAATTTGAGAATTAGGAAGATGGAGCACTGTCACAGGCTTTGGCAAGATGTGATCACTGATGACCTTGATAAGAACTCTGAAATCTCAAGTGGGGTCCAGAGAGAGGTAGGGTGAAAAAGTAGAGATAAAGTTTAGACAACTCTTGGAAGTTTTGCTATGAAAGGGAAACCACACCCTATGAGACTTCCAAGGTATCTTCTGAGGATCATATTAAAACATTCCAGTGTCTTCCCACCTCACTAGGAACCAGAGCCCTTCCTATGGCCTCCAAGGCCTCCGCTGGTCTCTTAGGCTCTCCCCAGCCACAGTAGTCTTCTTGCTCCTACCTTTAGGGCCTTTTTGTTTTCTGTTCCCTTTGACTAGATATCTACATAGCTCCCTCCCTCCCTTCTGTCTCTGCTTGTATGTCCCCATATCAGAAATGCCTTCCCTAACCAGCCTATAAAAAATTAGCACAACTGTCCTTATTCTTCTCATCCTGCTGTGTTTTCCATCCTGCTTAGAATTTACCTCAACTTGGCTTTTTAAAAAAGCCTCTTTTAAAATAAAAAAGCCTCTTTTTATTTATGACCCTCTCCATTTTGGTCCGCTACAAAAAGGGAGTGATTCTTTTTTGGTTTACTGCTGTATCTCTAGCATCCAGACGACTACTGCACATATATTAGCATCTCAATAAGGATTTGTTGAATAAATTAGAGATTCCTGGGGAGTCAAGACCTTAGCTTAGTCCACAGGATAAAACAAACCATTAGTATACCTAAGCAAAATGGCTGTTCAGTTAAGAACAAATTAAATCTTAATTTCTCATTTTGTATGCATTCATTTCTCACAGCATAGCAGAACATGCTATAAAGAGTTTTACAGTTGCATACTTGCTCTTGCAAGTTACTTAACAAGATCTGAACCTCAGAGCTTTCATTTCTGCCTTCCCCCATAAAATGGGTATTATAATAATAGAATCTTGTAAATATTCAATGAGATAATGTATATAAACGTGTTGGGACATAGTAGCATTCAATAAATCTTAGTCCCTTTCTATCTTCTCCAAGACAGCGTGTGTAAGAGGACTGTTACTCTGTTCCTAGATGACTAGGCTCCTGTTCCAACTCAGGTCACATTGACCATTGTGTTGTCATGGAGCTGGATATCTCTAGCTGGTGGACAATGGCATTATCTGTTTCTTTTACCTCTGTATCCCTAGTGCTTAGCTCTGTGCAGACACAAGCTTAATAAATGTTTGCTGACAAGTGAATCCTTGAAATATTAAACTGACATCACACTAGGGAGGTAAGCCAAAAAGAGGAAGACAGAGGATCCCAGAAACAGGAATCCCAACCCAAGAGGGAAGCAAAGGAAATTAACGGGCAGCAGTACAGCAGTTCTGGAGTTCAGCCAGTCCAGACTGGAACAAGCAAGAGGCCCTAGGTTTCTAGAGGATGACATAAGTAAAGTATGAAATGTATGTTGCAGTAACTGAGATGAGATTGACACCAAAGGGGAAAAATTTAGAGATTGATTAGTAACAAGTACATAGAGAACTAAGCAAATAAAAAAGATTTGTTACTGGTTCCAGGAAAAACAAAGTTGGTCAGTAATGCAAATATCAACCACTGATCTAACCATAAGTCTAACTATTTTGAGAGAATAGGATAGGAAGAGTGCAAATGAGAGGTGGGAGTAATAGGTGATAGTTAAATCTTTCATAGTGAAAATCAAGGGATGAATTCTAAACCAGAAAAATCAAGAACTGGCATTATATTCATGTTATTTAGAGATGTGAAGATAAATCCCTAAATAAGAATGCAGATTTGTTTCTTCTAAAATTAGGAAATGAGGCAGGAGGGTGGGAGCATAAGCAGCCCATTGATGCTTTACTTAACAAATTTTGCATATATTATGGATTGAATTATGTCCCCCCAAAAAATTAATGTTGAAGTCCTAACCCCTAATACCTCAGAATGTGACTGTATTTTGAGATAGGGCCTTTAAACAGCTAATTAGATTAAAATCATTTTTAGGCCTTAAGCCAGTGTGCCTGGTGTCCTTATGAAAAGAAATTAGGACACAGACAGAACAAAGGACACAAAAAGTAAATGGCCATGTGCCAAGGAGAGAGCACCCAGAAAAAACCAAACCTGCCAACACCTTGACCTTGGACTTCCAGCCCGCAGAACTGTAAGAAAATACATTTGTGCTGTTTAAGTCACTGATCTGTGTGATTTTGTTATGGCAGGCCTAGCAAAGTAATGCAGCATGTATATGTGATTCAATAAAAAATTACGTGCATGCATCATTTTTTATTAAGAGATTTAATTTTAAGAAATGTAACAAATAAAAGGTTATTCTAAAACAAATACATACATCAATGCCTCCAACAGTAACTCATAATATTTATTTACTGATTTCTTTTTTTCCCTAGAGAAGCTTCATTTGACAGTTACTAAATCTGAATATAAATTCTGGTAGCTTTTCAACAAATCCCCCCAGCTTTGTTCTTCCTTCTCAGGATTGCCTTGGCTATTTGGGGTCTTTTATGGTTCTATATGAATTTGAGAACTATTCTAGTTTGTTGAAGAATGCTGTTGGTATTTTGATAGGGATTGCATTGAATCTGTAGACTGCTGTAGGCAGGATGGCCATTTTGACAATATTAATTCTTTCTATCCATGAGCACAGGATGTGTTTCCATTTATTGGTGTCTTTTTAAATTTCTCTCATGACTGTCTTGTAGTTTTCAGGGTATAGGTCTTTCATCTCCTTGGTTAGGTTAATTCCTAGGTATTATATTTTTGCTACAATTACAAATGGAATTGTTTTCCTGATTTCTCTTTTTGCTAGTTCATTGTTAGTGTATAGGAATGCAACAGATTTATGTATATTAATTTTGTATCCTGCAACTTTGCTGTATTCAGTTATTAGTTCTAGGAGTCTTTTGATGGTTTCTTTAGGGTTTTCTATGTACAATATCATGTCATCTGCAAACAGTGACAATTTAACTTCTTCCTTATCAATCTGGATGACTTTTATTTCTTTGTGTTATCTGACTGCCATGGCTAGGACCTCCAGAACTAAGTTGAATAAAAGTGGGGAGTGTGGGCATCCTTGTCTTGTTCCCGATCTTAAAGGAAAAGCCTTCAGCTTTTCACTGTTACGTATGATATTAGCTGTGGGTTTGTCATATATGGCCTTTATTATGCTGAGATACTTGCCCTCTATACCCATTTTGTTGAGAGTTTTATCATGAGTGGATGTTGAATTTTGTCAAATGCTTTTCAGCATCTATGGAGATGATCATGTGATTTTTTTTGTCCTTTTTGTTGATATGGTGGATGATGTTGATGAATTTTCGAATATTGTACCATCCTTGCATCCCTGGAATAAATCACTTGGTCATGATATATGATCTTGTTGATGTTTTTTTAAATTTGGTTTGCTAATATTTTGTTGAGTAATTTTTCATCTATGTTCATCAGGGATAT